ATACGCACACTTAAAAGAAACAAACCACACAATTGAAGATGAACAAGTAAAAATCATAGGAACAGAAAAGAGATGGTTTGAAAGGGGAGTAAAGGAAGCGATTTTTGTTAAAAAATTTTCACCCTCTCTGAACCGTGAAGGAGGTATCAGATTTAACCTGTCTCCTATTTACAATAACTTGTTGACCAGTAAGGGACATAGACATGCTGATCAGGCTAACTGAAAGTAGCTATTCAGCCTTAGCCCAAACAATAGGCCTAATCAAGACCCAATGATAGGGAGTTTAGAAACCAATGGGCCTCTTCACCATAGGGGCGTGACTAACCATCCCCACCCAGTCCTCAAACAGGCCACGCTCAGCCTTTTAGCGCAGAGCAACTTCCCGGAGTCTTCACGGAGACTTCAGGGTTGTCTACCGCTGACGAAGCTTCTGTGAGAGAAGCGAAACGTCCTTTTTTGTTTTTTTTTTTTTTTGTTTTTTGTTTTTTACCCACAGGTACAGATGACGACTGACAGAACCCTTTCTACGATGGAACTTTCCTGTACGACTGAGAGCCTCCACAAGCAACTCTTCAGGGCACCGAGCTGTCCGTAAAATGAGTTGCCATTCTTCTTTTTTTTCTTTCTTTTTTCTTTTTTAAACAATACCTCCACACTCATCTTTTTATGTTCTTTATGTCTTGACCATTTATGTATCCTTGGTTTCATCTGAGATGAGAAAGTTATTTTTTTTTCTGTCTAGGAGTCATTTTGGTGTATTTCCAAACTCTTTGCAGGGTTTTGTTTGTTTTACACTGAGATTGCTCTTCACCATAAAAGTCAGATATGTGGGGAGCTGCAGAAATGATTGTCCTTCTGGAACTTTTTCCTGTAGTTCAGTGAGAATGGATTTAGCGTCTTTGGTCATCTCTCTCACCAAGGTTATTTCCCCTGAGTTACTCAGGGTGGCCACCCAGCCAATGATTTATTGCACACACAGACAGACTCTTGGTTGAAAGTAATATTTGTGCAGTCACTACATTTAAATACTGCAGCGACCATACCATCCACACAACCATCATTAAGTGCCATGTTTTTCTCCCGACATAAACTATGGTAAAATGAACAAATTAGACAGTGACCTCATGCTTAAATACAGGCACACACACAATCTGTTGCTCTCCATATGACAAGTGGTTGCACTTAACATTGTGTCCAACAGTCAGACATCCAATCGATGGCCATATAAGTGTCACATATGTTCTCTCCCTGATTTCTACAGACAGTTAAGTAATAACATGACAAGAAGAGCCCTCTTTTCTTCGGATACAGTAAATAAAGGCAAACTTTATTTTCAAAAATGAACATAACAAGACTCTTATAAAAAGTGTTTCTTCAGATTTCTTGATTATCCCACCCAATTTTTATTTTTTCTTCATGGGACAATCACACCCTTCCCCATGGGCTGGCCATCAGGGGCTCATACCGGCACACCAAGATGCTTGTGCTCCTCCAGTTGAGGCACAGATCTCAAAATAGGACCAAACATTTTAAAGTACTTGTATTATGTAATTTTCATTTGTATTTTTATTTATAATCATATCGATTTTTTGTTATGAAATTTTGCATTATCATGAAGATAATAAAAATAAAAAGAAAATTATGGTGTGATCTTGTTTGATTGAAAGCCAGTCTCATCTGCAACAGCCTACCACAGGCTTACTGAAAATAAAGTTAGGTATGGAGCCCCTTATGCGAAAGACATCAATGTTGGTGTGCAAGAGTCCCTTTTCTGTGATATTGTGTATTTGCCTTTTCAAGCTACATGACTTTTTTTGTCATTCACGAAGGTTGCACTGTCATTACTTTTATTTTAGTCAGCCTTCGTCTTAGCCTGACACTTGATAGGCATTAATTTGTCACATTTGTGCATATTTGCCTCTGACATGTTAGCTCGGTGGGTAGTTGTTTTGTGAAGGTTTGGTGTCTCTCCTGGTGTGGGGTGGGGGGCAGCTTCTCCAAACTGCACAGAGGTAAGCGGGTTGTCCTGTGCTGGGAAGGACAGGGTTTGTATCAGCGCTGGGTTCGGGGACCTTAAAATGTGGCAGGGTGAGTCTCATGGTGAAGGCCAGGTTAAACGTTCCGTCTTCCTCTTCGTCGGGTAGGTGGGCATCATCTTGTTCCGGGCACAGTCATGATGGGACGAAATGTACAGAGGCTCCAAGGCTTGTGTCGAGTAATGGGAGGGGTGTTCCCACGAAGCGTGTGTCGAGGGGCACTTCATTTGGGCAAAACCTAAAAGTGATGAAACATGATGCCTCGCTGGCCAGCTGAATCACATCACTTTTTCGGGAAGTGGTTCAATAGTTTGACGGGCATTGCAAATACAGTACAGACTGTGGTATAAAGCAGCCACAAAGTGCCATGGTGGTTGCCTGTCATTTCACATTTTGTGCATTCCAAGCTGTAGTTACACGTGTGTGCAAAAGCAATCTTTTTTTTCGAGCCTATGCAAAGAAGAGAATTTTACATATTTGGGAACATTTCGATTTGATTGCTTCTAATAAGGTTAAGAAAAAAAAGCAACCTTAATATAAATATGACAATGCAGCTTTTCTCTTGTTCTTATGTCTAACCTTTGGTATTTCACAGATGAAGTGTCTGTTTTATGCAAGGGAGCTTGTATACAACAATAACACCTCATGTATGCTGAGTCATTACAGAGCCCTGCATGTGAGCAAGGAGATTCATAAAGCTGGACCAAGCTTCAGAAAGTTTGTCACAACTTTGAACCCTACCCATTTTCTCCTCACAAGGAAGGACTGTATGTGAGCACATGAAGCATTTTTTTTTTCTCATTTCTCTATCCTGGCAATTCCATATTGTCTTCTTTCTTTTTAGGCTTTGAAAGCTATGGTGAATGACAGATATAAGATGGGCAAAGAAAAGGCCAAACAGATGATGTCAAAGGCTTCTGCCGTTAGCCTAACAGCAGATATGTGGACATACATGAACACAGAGTCAAATCTGGCTGTGACCTGCCATTTTATTGATGAACGTACATCATTGCACGGTGTTGTTTTAGGGGTAGGACATTTCCCTGAGACGCATACTGCTGAAAAACTTGTTTGAGTAAAAACTGCACTCAAGTCTGACTGGAGCATCATTGACCAAGTTACTTGCCTTGTGACAGACGGCGCAGCAAATATGGGTGCCTGTGTGAGGTAGCTTCATATGAGACACATGATTTGTGTGACGCGCACAAAAAATCAGAATCAGAATAAGAATCATCTTTATTGGCCAAGTATGTAGAACACACAAGGAATTTGTCTCCGGTATAACACGCTGCATTAGTATCATCATAAACAAGGACATGACAAATAGGTATGGAAGGACATTTCGTAATGTAAGTGAACCGTAGTGCGGTGGTACCACCCAGTGGCAACTGTGAGACAATGTGCAAAGTATCAAGCAGAGCTAAAGTGACCAGTGGTAAAATACAATACTATGACAGTTGTACAGTTGGTGCAGAAAATCAATGAACCATTTTAGAGTGACCAGTAGCAGTAATTGTTGTACAAGAAGAGTGACTACATCAGTGACTGTTTAGGGAGTTAATGGCGAGAGGGAAGAAGCTGTTTAAGTGTCTGTTGGATTTGGTGTGTATGGATCTGTAGCGCCTCCATGTTTTCTGTCAACTACATTGCTGGAGAAACAGTCATCATTCAAGGTAGGGAAGAACACAGGATTGATTTGATGACTGCCGTGTAGAACTGACGTAGCACCTCCTGTGGCAGGCCATGCTTCCTCAGCAGCCTCAGGAAGTACATCCTCTGCTGGGCCCTTTTCAAGATTGAGATGGTGTTGACTTCCCACTTTATGTCCTGGGAGACTGTGATTCCCAGGAACTTGAAGGTCTCGACGGTTGACACAGGGCAGTTGGATAGTGTGATCTGATTTTAAATCTGATTTAAAAAAGGCTCTTGCCCAGAACTCTGTGCTATATGAAATTAGGGAGGAGTCCAGAAAAACAGTAGGCTACTTCATTGCCATGTTCTAAATTCCACTGTTCAGTTGCAAGTTGCTGCTGCAGTGGCGCTTGAATTTACCACTTTACTGTGGGAGCGGCTGACAAGGTTCCAAATGGGCTGGCCAGCACTAAAGATCATTCAAGAAGTCGAGACAAGATGGAAGAGCAAGTTTTTAATGTGCCAGTGAAAGAATATTTTCTAAAGCTGGTGAAATACGTTCAAGAAATGAAACTGTTTAAAGCCAAACACTGTGGGAAAGCTATTATTTCTAAATGAAAATAAATACCAAATTATCATTATCGCACTTGTTCCATTTTGTTCATATACAAATACACACACACACAAGCACATTCATATGATTTTCTTAAACAAACAGCCATAGAATTCTCACCATTGTTGACCTCTTGGGCTTCTAGACCACTTGATGGCACCCAAGAGCAAATGAAGCACCATGAAGCTTTGAACCATGTGCAAAGGACCAATTGACCCAATTGACTGCAAAGCTCATTGCTTCATGAGGCTTCATTTAGTCATCATGAGTGCACAGCACTTACTCAACGGCCAAGGACAAAATCGCCAAAATCCTGAATCATGGGTTGTCAGCGCTGCTGTGCACGGAACAATCGCAGGGCACACAGAGACGAACAACCATCTGCACTCACACGCTCACCTAGGGACAATTTTGAGTGGTCAGTCAGCCTGTCATGCATGTGTTTGGATTGTGGAAGGCAACCGGAGTACCCGGAAAAAACCCACAGGCCGGGGAGAACATGCAAACTCCACACAGGAAGGCCGAAGCCGGGATTGAACCCATGACCTCCGCACTGTGAGGTCGACGCGCTAACCACTGGACCACCGGGCCGCCCTTTTTGTCATGTATTCAATAAGAAATATTAATTGAACATGATTTGCAAATCATCCATTAATCCATTATCCAAGCCGCTTATCCTCACAAGGGTCATGGGTGTGCTGCAGCCAATCCGTCGCTAATCATTGTATTCTATTTTTATTTGTGTTTAACATAAAGTCCCAACTTCATTTAAATTGGATTTGTAGTTTTTGTGTACTTTACTTTTGAACCTCTTTTTGAACACAGCAATTGATTCACGCGTTTTCAGTTGAGTTCTGAAATTATTCCACAAATTACCATCTCTTACACAAATACACTTTTGCTTCACGTGTGTTTTTGTTTTGGATTTTTTTGAAGAAACTTGTTCCCCTTAAGTCATAGCAACGCTAATTTCAAACAGCTTCTGTGTATTCTGGCAGAGCAGGTTATTGTGTACTTTTTTCATTATTTGTGTTGTTTTAAACTCAACCAGGTCATAAAATTTCATCGTGTTTAATTTGATAAATAATGAATTTGTTGGTTCAATATATTTTTAGCGATAAATAACCCACCGGTAATTATTCTTCTAAGTGGTTTGAAAACAGGGAGAGTTTTTTGTTTTAAAGGTGTGTCTCCATATTTCCACACAATAGGCCAGGTATGATGATAATAATCAACATTCTAAAGTGTATAATGACTTCTTATTCAGGACATCTTTGGTTGTAAGTCCATTTGATTAATTCCTTAGTTTGTTTTTTCGGAGAACAGAAGGGCTCGGGTGATAGTTTGTTGAGAACACTGCACAGGAAAAAGATAGCAAGCAGAGAAGATTAGGAGAGGGAGGAAGCAAAGTAAAAAGCGTCCGCCTCTATCCAGAGCCAAAGAAGAAAGTATATAGGGTAGCTTTCATGAGTCCAAAGACTTGTTGTAGGATGTGGTTTCCATTATTGCTCCGGCGGGACCACTTCCAGGAGAATTTGTAAACTTCTGTTGATAGAATCTACACACAGAAAAAAATGTGCATATGAGTGACATGTTACATTAATGTTGATAGTAATTGCTATTCAAACCAAACAATATTCATAATTCAGTCTTTTATCTCATTAAAAACAAAAGGGGACTATACCAAAGCACGCTATATTGTGGTCTTAAAAGATTCATGTCATGCAGGATTTTCACAACATTTTTTTTGCCCCACGTAGTTATGGCGTTCCTTGGAGGGCCGTTAAGACTGTTAACCCATATCAATGATATTGTCAGGTCGACACAACAAATTGATGGATATGAGTTTCGAGCTCAGAGACCAGTAAATGATTGGTTATTTCTCAAATTTTCAATCTATTTTAAGGGAGGGAGTGGTTAAAAAATGCTTGCAATATCTCATATCTTAGTGTTGTGAAAAGGGAAGACAATTTGCAAGAAGCATGAAGCCAACGCACATGATTTATTTGCCTTTGCAGGCAACATAAAATGATGTCGCAGACCGTATATGGCCCCCGGGCATTAAGTTTGACGTCATTGGTATAGTGGGACCATCGGCGACTCTTTGTCAAGGCAAGAAGACAGCAGCTTGAAGTGAAGCCCCACCTTTGTAACAAAAATGTTTGGTCCAATAATACTGATGGTGGAGTTATGAGAGCTTCACTTCTTATATCACACGCACCAACAACAAACACTAAACAATACTGCAACATGAAAACATCAATGTCATAAACTTGTCGATTTCAACTCTACTGTCATCACATTAGCCATTAGCATCGACCTAAATTGAAGAGGTGTCACCGCTATCGCAGTAATGATAACGAAAAACTGGTGTAGCAGCTCCACAGCCGAGCATTTGTGAAAGATTTTATTGAAATAAAAGCTAGCATAATAACATAGCATGCTAAGAACCTGTTCTGATCCAAAATGTTACTGAGTTTGTGAAAAGCAAATCACTGCCTACCTTCATCAAGACCTGATGTGAAGGCAGGGGATGCACTTTTCCAGTGTGTTAACTATCGTAGCTCACATGTACTGTTTTAAAATGCTTCTCTGGGCCCTCCAGAGTCCCATTCCATGCCAGTGCCCTCGGTGAATTGTATATGAAACAAACTTTAAATGAAAATAATGTTTAAAAAGATATACTGCAACAGCTCTGATCGCAAGCTGCAATTAACAGACTGCTTGTCCGCAAACAACTTCCGCTGATGGAGGTCATACACCACCACCGTAGGTTAAAGGTGACCTGGTTTTTCATTTTATTTTTAAAATACTTTTTTTGTGAAAGTGAAACTGATAGTGTACAGTGCACCCTAAGCATCCTAAGACAAAATTATATAATATTAATAACACATACACGGACACACACATTTTTCCCCCCCATTTCTCCCTATCCCCCCACCTCCACCCCCACCCCGAACCCCCGCGATTGACTTGGGACCAGTCCGCAGGCTACCGGTCAATCGCAATGGGCACCCCGGCTTTACATGGTTTCACAGTCAGAACGACTCTCCAAGGGAAACAGTGACTACAATGTAGCCTGCGACAAAAATGAGTTTGACACCTCTGATTTTACTGTATGTGTTACTGCTTCTTAATGGAATGATGTGTTTTACAGTAACCACTGGTTGAGTCAGTGCTGTTGCACCTGGAGAAGGCTGGGAGCACTGTGAGAATCATGTTCTTTGATTTCTCCAGTGCCTTCAACACCATCCAGCCCAACTTACTGGGAGACAAACTGCAGAACGCCGGAGTGGACCACCACCTCACAGCATGGATTACAAGACCTGATGTGAAGGCAGGGGATGCACTTTTCCAGTGTGTTAACTATCGTAGCTCACATGTACTGTTTTAAAATGCTTCTCTGGGCCCTCCAGAGTCCCATTCCATGCCAGTGCCCTCGGTGAATTGTATATGAAACAAACTTTAAATGAAAATAATGTTTAAAAAGATATACTGCAACAGCTCTGATCGCAAGCTGCAATTAACAGACTGCTTGTCCGCAAACAACTTCCGCTGATGGAGGTCATACACCACCACCGTAGGTTAAAGGTGACCTGGTTTTTCATTTTATTTTTAAAATACTTTTTTTGTGAAAGTGAAACTGATAGTGTACAGTGCACCCTAAGCATCCTAAGACAAAATTATATAATATTAATAACACATACACGGACACACACATTTTTCCCCCCCATTTCTCCCTATCCCCCCACCTCCACCCCCACCCCGAACCCCCGCGATTGACTTGGGACCAGTCCGCAGGCTACCGGTCAATCGCAATGGGCACCCCGGCTTCCCCGGGATTCGCACATTCTCACAGGATGGGCTCCACTCCGCGCACAACCTTTGTGAGGATAAGCGGCTTGGATAGTTGGGTGGATGAATGGATGATGGATGGTTTTTACAGTTTGCATCTTATTATTGAACTATTGAGTTAAATAAAAAAAAAAAGACACCCATCCATCCAATTTAAATTGGGTGGGTCAGGCAAAATGATGTGACACATTTGTAGGTTAAATTAAGCATGGCTTACGGACTACCTCACAAACCGACCGCAGTACGTGAGGGTACAGAGCTGTGAGTCGGACAGGCTTCTCTGCAGCACTGGAGCGCCGCAGGGGACTGTTCTGGCTCCATTCCTGTTCATCCTCTACACCTCGGACTTCAGACACACCACTTCAACCTGCCACCTTCAGAAGTTCTCCGATGACTCTGCGATTGTAGGCCTCATTACAGAGGG